AGCCATATCTGACAGGTGCTGATCGCAGCAATAGTCGAGATGCTTCAAGACGCAGAGAGAGGGTCAGACTGCGGCTAATCTGTCCAGCCTCATGCTGACCTTACGAGTGGCTGTCTTCACCTGTATCGTGCTTGGTCGTGGGGCTGGTGCGGTGCTGCCAGGCCTGTTGTTCACCATCACCACACAACTCTCACGCTCAAAGCTGGCAATAGGGCCTCACCATGATGTCGACCGCAAAGCAACGAAAACTTCCACACCAAACGCGCCTCTACCTTTCCACACCACGACCAGCCCTGCCCTGATCACCTTTCCCGTTTGATCGACGATCCATATAAGTACAGCACTACTTCTACTGCAACCATGACTCTGTTCGCGGGAGAAGATCATGAGACAGTCTCCTGGTCGTTGAAGGAGTTTTCGATCGGCAAGGACTTCAAGTGGAGCAAACCTGAAGAAGAAGAAGACGACCGCACGGAGTTGTTCGTCGATCGAGCTACTCACGAATTTGGCATTGTCTACTACGACTCACAGTCCACTGCAGCCGTCGAACAGTTTCCAGACACCGAGGAGCCGGTCTACTTCGAAGCAAAGACTACTCGCGCTGCTTGCAAGCATGATAGCTGTGGCAAAGTCACGGTTCTCTTCGAGCACGTCCAGCTCAACCTCAAGTTCGAGTCGACGGGCGCCCCAGGCAGTGCCGATCACATCAGCGCGACGACACACGCTCATCGCTTCGTCAACGCCCTCGAAGTACTCGCAGGCGCCGCCCAGAACAAGACGTTTCGCGTCCACACAGTCATCGCTAAAGGCTTCGACAAGAACGAGGATTTTGACATGGTTGCTCGTGGCTACACTGAACGTATTGTAGAGTCTTGGATGAGCCAATCGACAGGACCGTCACATTGGTCTAAGTGAGCATTACTCTAAAGAGGCCTGACGAATATTGACAACGCCAGGGTCCGCGACAGTGGTGAGTGGTCAGACTTCACCATCTTTGCAGGCACTACACCCTTTCCTGTGCATCGCGTGAAGTGAGTTAGTACCCACGTACCACAATCGCATAGACTAATCTCTCCCACAGGATCTGCGAAGAGTCGATGTACTTCAAAGCAGTCTGCACTGGCGGTTTTGCGGTAAGCTTACCATTCGTTGCCTATAATGATATACAGACACAGCTGGCTAACACGCTGCAGGAGAGTGACAAACGCACGATCACGCTACCGGAGTCTGAGCAGACCATTGCAGCCATGCTCGATGAGATTTACGGCACCTACAACTCAACTACCGGGTCGCTATTCATAGGTTTTGTCTTGCGCTCCGAGGTCGAGAAGAAGCGCGTGATGGATGATCTGTTGGATCTGTTCATTGCAGCGGACAAGGTCGGTGACGTTGCTGCATGGATCCAAATCAGGAGCTGACGAGTAACACAGTACAACCTAGAGAAGGTCAAGACGAAGGTCGTCAAAGCCATTGTCGATCGTCTCCCTTTCATCCAAGACCCGTTGATCATCGTCGACCTCGCTACCTGCGTCTTCGATGACCAAACTCCGCAAGTGGACCGAGGCCTCCGCATGGCAATCATCGGACAGATCTACACACGAATGCCAGCGATTCTGAACGGCGAGACCGCTTGGCAAGAGTACTCGGAAAACAAAGCTGTGTTGAAGGCCTTCCACGCACACGTCGCTCGCCTAGAGATGCCCACTCAACTCATCGCTGCCGCGCAAGGTTCCCAATGTCTAAGCCCACCAGCGACACCGACACGAGCAAAGAGACAGCGCATTGAGTGACGAGGCAGACCATCGTTGTCCACATATAATACTGATCTTCAGTTGTACGGGTCCTGGTGCGCATCATTTGAAGGGAGCCGAAAGGGTCACGATTGATTGAGCGATTTTGGCGACGGTGGTTCAACATAGTCGAGTGATCTCGTATAGCTGTGGTTTTGTTCCTTCAGCGGTACTGCTGGCGAAGTCTGCAACGTGGGGCGAAGAGTAGGTTGTGTCAAATTTATCGTTGCTTGCTATCAACGGAAGGATCTATGCCCACACGGGTTGTGTCGATGCCTAAAGCTTCAAAATCAGCTTCCCGTACCATCGTGAGCCGCGCCAACCTTATGGCTCCGCTGAAGCCCTCGTTCGCATCTTCCGTCGGCCGAAGAATGTATTTGGTGCGGTCGACTATCAGCTGCAGCTGAGGCTCACCCAGCCCTTGGGCCCTTGTTAGCGCTGTTCGTCATGCCTGCTCTTCTACGCGGACTCATCGTTCATCGACAGCTATAGAAGCCTTTGACGTCCATCACAGAAGCTATCTATTCTTTGTGGTCTAGGGACGGCCGAACAAAGGTAGCCCGCCTCCTCCAAATATGCCACGGAGGCAGTCAGAGTCTGCATGCATCTAGTCAGAACTCTCTTAAACCGTCTGATGGCTACAACTTACCCACGATATCGTGCATTATACCAGCTGTCCATAGTCCCTGCGAGGATGCATTCTGAGTGTCTTACGAAGTTTGTTGCAGAAGTGCTTCTGCTAAACATCTATCAGCGAACGTCGCAATTGACCCGAACATCATCCCGGACATCTGGATCGGGAGCTCTCCAGCGACAGCTGAGAAGGTCTTTGCAGACCAAGAAAGATCATGATGACTATAACGGTACCTCCGCCGAGACGGCCTCATCCAAACAGCCGCATTTGACCGACAAAACATTTCGCAGGCACGTCCTCTCGGCAATGTCTGCCTTTCAGCCTCATCTTGACGGTCTCGCCGAAAGACAGCGATCAAACCTTACAAGTGGCCAACGGCTTCTGCTACTCAAGCAACTGCTTCACCATACACGGAAATCTATTCTTGCTCCTTTGGAGTCGGAAGTTTACAAGTTGATGCAAGCTAGCTCCATCCGCAGACGAACAAGGAAGCACCTCTAGGAGCTTAACCTCTCTGATTGGACCTAACCTACAGTGTTCACAATGAACTACCTGCTTTATGTGTATGACGGCTGCAAGCTCTAAGTAGATGTTGTTGCTATTGTTTTTACATTCCCGCGACGGATCAACCTGTCTCTACTGCCCTGACAGCACACACAGACAGTCTGGCATGTTAATGCTCATCTTGAGATTGATGGCCCTACTACTGGTTCATGCAACATGACACTGCATCAATGACCCCTATATCGCCTGAAGAAGTGAAGCGAATGAAGATTCCACCATGCACAAGGTGGCTTTGTTCTAACTGTGACGGTCATCCCGCTTTAGATCCTGGACATTGGGCTAGGTTGGTCCTTCCCGGTGCAGGATTGGCTAGCCTAGTGCAAGGTGACGGATCCTGCATGGCCGGCGTCAGATTTTCCTTAGCTGTGGCTATACCTAGGTATGTTGAGAGATCGGCTACATTGTTACGAGATCACAACATCGGGTGATTTTTGCGCAACGTACGGAACCCTACTTGGATCAATGGAGGCAGTCAGTGTCAATTTGTACTTTATGTGTACTTGGTCAGACCCCTTGTAGGCTACAAAGTTTCTGCCTACTGTCCAAAATTCCAGGCAAGGCTACAGCCCTCGATGTATGATACTGTGCTCGCTCACTGGGATGGTTAGAGGCGAGTACACCTTCCTGGCGTAGCAAGCGGAGAAGATATATTAATAGCTGACGCTTCCGCCCCAAGAGTTCCTCAACTTGTAAGGATAGCGACGGATGACGAAATGGGACCACCAAACACACTTTCAGAATAATGTCACAGGACTACGCGTCACGGTTGGCATAGCCACATGACTCTCGTGTCTCGAAGAGTCGGTTACAACATCGAGCTAATTGTAGCCTCCAGAAGACGCATTAGCGTGCGATTTGACTGCTAGCTTATCTTAGCTATCTCCGTCCATCTTAGCCTTGCATCACCACATTAGTGTTTACTGGTGCTGGACATGAGTAGAAGTAATAAACCGACGCCTCAGATCACGCCTGTCCAGGCCGCGAATTCTACTGGGTAGACATCTCAAGCACAGTCTGCGTAGGTACTTGATGTCTAATGCTCGACAGTAGATGGTGCGGCGGCTACAATCTCCATCAAGTGGGATGTCATGCAACTGGCAAACACAGCGACTAGGCAAGCGATCTGTTCATATGATGTAGTAGAACGGGAGAAGCAATCGGTAGATAACCACTTGCGCCGTGGGAGTCAATCGCGTTACCGCGAGAGAAGAAGAGGTCACACCGGGCTTATTGATACAAGAAGCAGGACAAGGTATAGAGAAAGAAGCAAAGGTATGGCATGATCGTGCAACAGATTGTAGTCTTCAAACCACTTATCAGTCTGCGACAGTTCTCGAGATTCATCCTGAACACCTCCAATAATTAACATGCCTGGCCAGTCAATCTCCTTTTTGAGGCGACGTTCGGTTGTCTGGTAGAGATCCGTGCGAACGGTCCAATCTCTGCAGCTGTTGTTATTCACGGGGGCATACAACAAACCCTCATCTATGACTGCTGTAAATTTCTGGAGGGAGTGGTCAATAAGTAGCAAACGTGTGTAACGGCGATGTTTTTTCCATTGCGCCACAGACACAGTGATGTCATTGCATTTCCTGTGCATACCAAGTTAAAATTCCCAGGTGCTGTCAACAAGAAGTATCAACACTGGTAGGGAAGTTTCTCATAGTCAATAACCGTATGTTATGCGTGTGGGTCAGTCTTCGTAAGTTGGAAATTTTGAAATTCGAGCGGTGACATACGTGTATGTAGTCAAACTGCATTCTGTGGATGGAAAATGAACACGGTCATTGTATCAATCTCGAATCCAGACCTTTGATACTTTCTGGTTGTTAAGCCGATCTGCTGCGGGGCAATGATCCAAGCTGAGCTTTGCCGAACGAGCCATGACTGGGCCATATGACGTCCTGATTTATTGTTCAAAATTGTAGGATGTTTGGGAGAGTCAGAGACGTATTTATCAAAAATAATATAAGACACCAAAACCTAACAGTTCCATCAAAACAAGTGTCTTGGCTTCGATAGCTCAGTGGTAGAGCGTGGGATTGCAGTTTGCAATCATCCTAAGGTCACCGGTTCGACCCCGGTTCGGAGCTTGTACTTGTCTTTTTTTTTTACCGACGTCCTCTAGTCTTTCTGGAGTGGTCGAGGCACCAATGACGAGGGATACTCCTTTGTAGAGTGCGGGATTGCAGTTCAACGAACTTCCTGAAGTCACTGGTTCGATCCCGATAGGGACCTGACGCCCATCCAGCATTTGCTGGTTGAGTTTTTTTTTTTCCTCCGACCTGACATCAGAACCTTTTCGCGTAAGTAAGAAGATCAACAAGACCTCCACAAGCCATCCGGACTTTACCCTGATCATCAAGATGCGGTGCCTCAGGTGGTGTTGCGGAATGATGCAGGTGCATCTCCCTCACATGTGAAATCGCGTTGTCCTGTGGGTAAGAAAGCCGTCAGAAACACCAAAACCAAATTGAACTTACTTTTGGCCATCAAGGTGCGATGGCGTTGGACCTGACAGCGGTGGCTGTCGCTCAGAGTTTCGGGATCCTGAAGACGCCGAGGACATCGCGAACATCGAGAACCAAACTCAAACACAGCCATCGTACCTCTTGCGCCGCGATGGAAGTTAGATATAACAGCAAAACTATTGCAGCCAACATAGGGCCTATCCGCACCCGAACGATGCGTAAACGAATGTTGACTGCTTCCCATTTTCTAGTATCTGAGCTTCTTTCTGACTTGGTCTTGCCGCGCAAGAGCGTAGCAAGATGCGCGACCGTGCCGCTTCACTGCTTGCATCCTCCTGCTTGATCGTAGGTCAGGCCGCCTCTGTCGGCGGGTTGAGGGTGCCCAGCTCTGCAACTCAACACCATGCAGCCATCGCCACCACGGACCATTCCATGGCGGCTGATCGCTGCTTTTGTTTCGCCAGCTAACGCGAGGTTGCATGAGCTGGTGGCTCGCATATCCGCTAAGTGTTTCATCGATCTTGCCGGCTGCCTTTCCTTGCGTAGACGTCTGCGATACTGTCGCATGGGACAAATATCGTACTGAGACAATATCGACATCTATTGCAACTCTGACCTCGTGGTAGCAAAATTACTGACCGATAGCATGTCAATATTACCGTGATACTTTGCAAACCTTGTCGCCGGTCGATCGGCGTGGGTAGGGAACATGGCCCTGGAAACGCGTCAAAGAACGCCATCAGATGACCGCGGGAACACTTACCAGATGTCAGACTAGCTCGTGGTAGCGTTCCACCGATTTGACCGTCAGGAACGTTTAACTCGTCCAAATCTGGCTTGTCTGTCGAGGCTCGATACCAAGACCGCGTACACCGCTGCAGACCTGACTTGCCGCTCGTGTCCTGCAAGGCCACACGCTGGAGCTGCGGCCGCTGGATGCAAGTCTCACTTTGCGACAGTCGATGCTGGTCTCGCCTCTAAGGTATGTGTTTCTCGTGGGCAAATCCGGCTCTATCACGGCTGCTAGCGTTCGCTTCGGTAAGGTACAAAGGTACAACATGTTCATGTGGGGTTGATACTCGAGCGTGCCCTTGCAGCGGCGCTTGTACACGCTGTTAGCTTGCAGTAACCGGGTTCGTGAGCCAATTGTTCGCTCGAGAAACTGTCAGCTTCGCTAGGGAGCTTCACGCCATGTTTGCAGCAACTCGTCTGCTTTCTGCTTTCTGCTTACGGCTCTCCGCCCAGGCCAGGCCCCTCTGTTAGGATAGACCGCGCCGTTAACAGGCGTAGTCGAAGGTAGTCATCCCAAGCGCTGGTCCTCATGCATGTGAAACGCGGCAGTGGCAGCTGTGATTTCGTCATCAATGTCGAACTCGAGTGTATCGAGCCCGCTTCAGTGGCAGCCACAGCTGCCGCGAGTGGAGGTCGCACTTGTCTAATCCAAACGACAAGGACAAGGCAAGGGCCTATGGCTGCGCAGGACTGTTCAGGTATCCCGGCAACAGACACCGCCCAGCTGCCCCGCCTGCAGCGCTGCGGCCGTGTGTCCTGACACAAGGGGTCTGCAGGAATGGCCGTGGTCGCGCACTCATTGCTCGGACTCGGCGGGGAGCGCAGCACGACGCGTAGTGAGCGAGCATTCATCATCATGGCTTGCTCAGCGCAAGCTTACAGGCGCAGGAGGGGCGACTGCAGCCAAGCCACGCCTGCAACTCACAGAACTGGATGCAGATCCCACCGCTCACCAAGCTGTTCTCGGGTGGTGGCAGAGGTGGATCGGACTCTAAACCCCAGCCCTTCGCCAGCCCAGCATCAGGACGCGCGACAAAGCCGCTAGCTCTGCTTGTCCGTGCCTTACCAACCCCTCCAGCGAACAATTTGGTTCTTAGCACCTGGTATTCAGGTCCTCTTGCGCAAAGGCCCCAATCCCGCTGCTTCCTGCACGACACTGTTTCCTGGCTTCAGAGGCCTTGCTAGCTCTCTGCGACCCTGAGAGCCGCATCCACAATTCCTCGGGATCCCGCGCACCACAGCCTGCCTCTCCCCGCGTCAGCTCGTGCCTGTCGCTGCGTGCATCGAGTTCGCGCCAGACTTCTTGGAGAGGGCCCTCCGGCAGACGTCTGCACCTTATCATACCTCCACCAAACTCCGGGCTTCCGTCGCTCACGCATCATCGTCGCCGCCGCACCCCTCGACGGGTAGAGCACTGCGACGCACGACGCTACGCCCTGGACTGACGTTCCTCGAGTGCTGTGCTTCGTTTGCAGGCTGCCCCTTCGCGCGCTGCGTCCGGATGTTGCGACGACACGGCTCTCCATTCGTCATCACATCCGTTTCAGCCTTCCTGGTCCCGCGTCAAGGAAGGTGCGAACCACGGCCGACCAGGTAGACTAGCACCGCTCCCGGGAATAGGCCCTGCACTTATCTTCAGGTACTGGCACACCTGCTTCTAGAGTGCTGCCGCCGCCCGTCAAATCGCAGCATTATTACGCATTTCTGACCGTTGACGTCGTCAGCGCTCAGCTCGACAGGCACGCGGGATCCTCCATTCCTACCTCACAGGATCGTAGTCAGGCCAACATGTCGAGCTTCCAAGCAGTCAACACTACCTTGAGCGTACCTGAACCGCCGCCAGGGCGCTCAGGAGAAGAAACAACACCCACAACACCCCGACCAGACGCTCGATTTCAGAAAGACGCAAGGAGTGGCGAGGAGATTAAGACAGAAGATCCCTCGCTGAAGACGCCGACACGCAACAGCTTTATTGGTATCGCCGGTCAAAGACCTCTCCCGTCCTCGCCCTTCGAGCCTACTCGCGAGCTCAGTGAGACTCCGTCCACCAAAAGCAACCTTAGCAGAGGGCAATCCCATACCTCGACACGGTCGGTAGACACAACAGAAGATGTGCACATGGGCGAGGGCGACGAGGACGACGACAAGGACTCGGACAACGAGAGTGTGACCAGCGAAAGTGGTCGGCCGTCAAAGAAGAAGAAAGGGCAACGGTTCTTCTGTACCGAATTCCCTCCATGCAATTTGAGCTTCACAAGAAGTGAGCATCTAGCAAGACACATTCGGTGCGTACGGGATCTCAGACACTCCATGCTCGGCACTGACGAATAACAGTAAACACACTGGTGAACGACCGTTCCAATGTCATTGCTCTCGCCGCTTCTCACGACTCGACAACCTTCGACAACACGCTCAAACAGTCCATGTGAACGAGGACATTCCGGCTGAGTCGCTCGCGGCGACTGGCACTAGGTTCCAAAGACAAATCAGGACGGACCGAGTCAGGCCGCCTGGACCCCGATCGCGAGCGAACACACTTGGAAGCATGGGCGGGCACAGCAGAGGTCATAGTAGAAACCTCTCCACTTCGAGCATAACGTCGACCATCTCAGCCATGAGCGTTGCGCAATCTCCGGACTCTCGACGTCGACCTCCACCGCTTGCCATGGCAAATGATGATTCTGCGAGAGCACGACTCTCCCTGCAGACCATGGAAGCCTACAACCCACCACTCATGGGCAGCCCGGGTCCTCAAATTGTCGAGTACGATTCTCAGTCAAACGCACCCACGACACCTACCTCAACCACCTATTCCGGAGTCGCTGGCAGCCCTGCGCAGTTTGGTTCGGCTATGCAGTCACCTGCTTCTACTTCTTCCAGACCGGTCTCGTGGGCCGGCCCGCCACCTGGCCGTCGTTTATCCAACAGCAACCCTTTCTCAGGACCACCCGGACAAGTTCCTCCTCCTTACATGTCTCCCCTGCAGTCCTCTGCCGCATCCACGTATTCCACGCAAAGTAGTGTCTATGCCAGTCCGGTTGTCCCTAACTTCCCAGGACAACGGAGAGACTCAAATGCAGACGCAGACTGGAGGAGGCGAACCTGGCACCCAGGAACATACACTGGCCCTCGACCGGCAACTAGTGGCCTCGGCTATCATCAGACACCTGACGCTGACCGCCCTTCGTACACCTCGCAGCCAGCTGCATCGCAGACCCGCCTTCCCGGTATCGAAAGCTTCGACTACGCACCTCCGCCACCGGCTCTGTCACGCCCTGGACCCGGACCAGTGCCTCACGACGCACCGCAACGCCCTCTTACTTACCATGCACCGATCGAACCTCTGCCAGGTGTCGGTCATAGAAAGCGTATGAGTGTTTCTTGGGAAGACACCATGCAAAGGGGCATCAACCGCTTAGACATCACTGGATCAGCTTCTCCACGGGAGTCTTGGTCGCAGTACCCACCAAATGGACAACCGGCTACCACGCGCCCCATGACTGCTCCCCATGGCTACTTCAGCCACCAGCAACCTCAGCACATCCCTCAGCCACTGCAGATCCATCCCAATGATTCGAACCGCAGTTCACAGGAAGTACCTTCTACGCCTCGCAAGAATAAGAGACAGGCATGGTACAACGGACCAGTGAGCCAGCCAGTGAGTCAGCCGGTTCGGGCCATGCAACGCACTTCTCCCGAGGATTCGAGCAGCAGCGAAGGCATCCCCACCCCCGGCAATACAACGATGAGCGAGTACCACCCTGCGATTGTGCACAGCAATGGATATGTCGAGGCTCACCCGCCAGGATATGCCGAGGAGTACAAGCCGC